TACTACTACTACTGCTACGAATACGACTGCTACTACTACTACTACTACTACTACCAGTACTGCTACTACTTCTGCTCATACTAGTACTACTACTACTACGACTGATACTACTACTACTACGACGACGACGACGACTGCTACTACTACGACTATTACTACTACTACTACTACTACTACTACTACTACTACTACTACTACTACTACTACTACTACCAGTACTACTAACACTCGTAGTGGTAGTAATAGCACTACTACTACTACGACTACGACGACGACGACTACTACTACTACTACTACTAAAACTCGATTTAAGCCTACGACTACAACTACTACTACTACTAAGACTACTACAAATACTACGGCTACTACAACTACCACGACTACTACGACTACTACTACTACTACTCTGCCACGACTACTACTACTACTACTACTACTACTACTACTACTACTACCACTATTACGACTACTACTGCTACTACCACTACTACTACCACTACTACTGCGACTGCTACAAGTATTAGTCCTACTACTATTACTACTACTACTACTACTACTACTACTACTACTACTACTACTACTACTACTACTACTACTACTACTACTACTACTACTACTACTACTACTACGACTACGACTACGACTACGACTACGACTACGACTACGACTACTACTACTACTACTACTACTACTACTACTACTACTACTACTACTACTACTACTACTACTACTACTACTAACACTCGTGAGTGTAGTAAATGCACACTACTAACTAACGACTACGACGACGACGACTACTACTACTACTACTACTAAAAAAACTCGATTTAGCCTACCTACCTACACTACTACTGACTACTACGACCTACTAAAATACGACGGCTACTACAACTACCCACGACTACCACGACTACTACTACTACTACTCTGGCCACGACTACTTACTACTACTACTACTACTACACGACTACTACTACCACATTACGACTAACTAACTGCCTAACTACCACTAACTACTGACCAACTACTACTTGCGACTGTACAAGTATTAGTCCCGTATACTATTTACTACTACTACTTCTACTACTACACTACTACCTACTACTACTACTACTACTACTACTACTACGACTACTACTACTACTACCACTATAGTAACTACGACGACGACTACTACTACTAACTACTACTACGACTGCTGCTACTACTACTACTACTACTACTACTACTACTGGTACTACTACTACTACTGCTACTACTACTACTACTACTACTACTACCACTACTACTACTACTTCTGCTACTACTACCACTACCACGACTGATACTACTTCTATCTCTACGACTACGACGACTACTAGTACGACGACGACTACGACTACGACTACGACTACGACTACGACTACGACTACGACTACGACTACGCCGACGACTACTACGACTACTACTACTACTACTACTAGTACTACTACTTCTACTCCTACGACTACTACTTCTACTACTGCTACTGCTGCTACTCTAATACTACTATAACTACTACTACTACTACTATTACGACAACGACCACGACTACTACTACTACTACTACTACTACTACTGCTAGTAGTACTACTACTACTACTACTACTACTACTACTACTACTACTACTGCTACGACTACGACTACGACTACGACTACTACTACTACTACTACTTCTACTACTACTACTACTACTACTACTACTACTACGACTACTACGACTACTACTACTACTACTACTACTACCACTACTACTACTACTTACTATTACTTACGTACTTACTTACTTACTTACTACTACTACTACTACTACTGCTGCTGCTACTACTACTACTACTACTACTACTACTTCCACTACTACTATTACTAGTACTACTTCTATACTACCACACTACTACCACTACTACTACTACTACTACTACTACTACTGCTACTGCTACTGCGACTACTACGACTACGACTACTACTACCACTACCACTACCACTACCACTACCACTACCACTACCACTACCACTACCACTACCACTACCACTACCACTACCACTACCACTACCACTACCACTACACTATACCGACACTACCACTACCATACTACTACTACTAATACTACTACACTACTACTACTACGACTACGACTACGAACTACGACTACTACGACCTACGACAGACTACTACGCTACTACTACATACTACGCTACGACTACGACTGACGACTACGACTAACGAACTGTAACGACTACGACTACTACTACTACTACTACTACCACTACTACTACTACTAATACTACTAACTACTAACTACTATACTAAATACTAAACTAAAACTAACTACTACTACTACTACTACTATACTACTACTACTACTACGAATACTACTACTACTACTACTACTACTACTACTACTACTACTACTAATACCACTACTAATACTACTAGTAATACAATACTAAAACTACGACCACTACTACTTCTACTACTACTACTACTACTACTACTACGATACTACTACTACTACTACTACTACTACTATTACTACTACTACTACTACTACTACTACTACTACTACTACCACTACTCCTACTACTACTACTACTACTACTACTACGGCTACTACTACGACTACTACTACTACTACTACTACTACTACTACTACTACTACTACTACTACGACTACTACTACTACTACTACTACTACTA